GTATATCTAGAGCCTATACAGGGTTTTTTAAAGTTCAGAGATCACTACTTTGAGGCACAAGTAGCACTTTACAGCTACATGAGCTGGGAAATGTCATTAATGGACATGTGCTTCTGTTGGGGAATATCTTAGAAACTATACTAAACAAAACTAACAAAGAACCCCTATGTCCACCCGCAGTGGTCCCTTGGCAACCATAACCTTGACAGTAGCCCATATGGACTCTTTGAGCATGTGGCGCATCAGAGCTGTGTTCTATCTGCAGCCTAGGTTCATCCTGCTGTTCTCCGTAACCCTAAACCCCAAAAACCCACACCCTAATAATCTCTGTATGGCTGAAAGTTGCGGATTCAGGGCGAAGGATTCCAGAATCAGTTAAGGATTCAGGATGCTTAGTTTAGGGCTGTTGGGTCCCAAAGTCCGAAGACCTTCCTGTTCCAAATCTCAAGCCTGAACCGACACCCTAAACCCTCAACCGTCCCTAACTTTGTTCGTGAAGCTCTTGCCATACTGGGGCAGAGGCTCCTCAACGAAAATAGAATACCTCAAGTTGGATAGTGGGTTCAGTAGGGAACAAGGGAATATGTATATATATATATATACATATGCATAGGGTTGAGGGTCTAGGGTTAGGGCATCTTAGGGTAGGGAATAAGGGCGAACATTATACGAGCTATAGTCTAAACTCCTACTATCCCCCTTCATAACCCCTGTAATGCTCCCCTGTATAACCCCTTTTAGGGAGTTTCGACTATAGCTCATATAGGGATTCTAGTCCTTATTCCCTACTAAACACGGGTGAGGCTGGTTGAGGTTCAGAGCTTAAAGGAGCCCAGGGTCCCGAGGTCCCAGGAATTTGCGCCTGCATGTAGGGTCTTGGGGTTCAGGGATAGTGGCAAAGAACATGGAAACTACTACTCAAGGTTTAGGGTTTAGGGCTTAGAGTTCAGAGGTTATATTCCCCCTTAAGTAGCTAGAATATGGCTTTGGGCATATTATAATAAGATCCCCATATACCCCATATTCTATCTACTTAAGGGGGACTATAAGGTTCAAGGTTTAAGCGGGCGGTCCATCTTTTCGTTTGGACTCTTCATGGCTTTTGCCCATGCTATGAACCACAAATATCTGAAAAGAGGCTGATGTTTGGCATCAAGTAAGCAAACCCATCTAGCATGAAATAGCATAAGAAAGCTTATCACAATACGTCTAATATGGGGTGTATATGATCTGAATCTCACAGTTCATGTAGCGCAGAAGGATAGTTTGGGATCAGCACCTACATTACAGCATGTACCTCTCACAATCACAGCCGGTCGCGCAAACCATAGCTGTCCCGACCGGAAACAAACACACAAAACAAGCTGACAAACATGCTAACTTGCATAAAAGCATTGCATCTAATGCTGCTAAGAGAAGACCGTAAACCCTAAACCCTACTTTAAGCATGACAAAGCTACTATGCCGAGTTGCTCCTGCGGAAGCACAAAGGTGGTTGGGGAGCAGGCAGCAAAAGCTTGCGCCTGAAGAAGGTTTTTGGGGCTTAGAGTTTGGACCTTAGGCTTCAAGGTTCAGGGTTTGGAGGGGCAGCCTGTTTGCGAAACACTTTCTGCTCCTGGTGACCGTAAGCTTACAGTATTGCAATGACTTTACAGGTATCAAACGGTCCGAGGTTTTGCAAGACTACATCAAGTGATACTGCGCACATTTCCTTGGAATCTTGTGAAATCAAGAGCGAGATCGGACATCCACTACTAAGAGCGGAAACTTACATGGTTCGTTGCTAGTTGTGAGTCAAGCTTAGTACCCTAAACCCTAAACCCCCCTGAGCCCTAAACCTTAAACCCTAACCTCTAAAGCTTAAATCCTAGATCCTAACACCCTTAACCTGGTTAAACCGTATCAAGGGCTTCAGGTTCAAGTTCCAGGTTCCAGGGCTTGGGTCTTTCGGTTCTACGAACGCTGCCTTGAGATGTTGGTGGTTTGGGGTTGAGGGTTTAGGGTTTTGGGACTTATGGGTTCACTGGAAAGCACTTTTTGTCTGGGGGAGGGTTGATGCTGCTTTTTCTTTACAATAAATGAGACTGTAACAATACTGATTGCCCTGTTAGCTATTCTGGGTTGCTGCTAAGGAACTTGAATTGAGTTCCCGGAATAGAAGTGTACAGTAAATACTCAGGGTTACTAACTTTGTTACCTTGATTCATGTTCCTTAACACCACCCCAGGAGTTGCGTCATGTTATCTCAAACCTGGAGCCCTCAGTCTGAGACCCCAGCAACCCCAAACTCTAAATTGAACAACCTTTACTCCTAAACCCTAAGCCTTGGGTACTGCCCCCCTCAGTAACAGTTGATAATAAACATACAATTATATAAAGCCCTTAATTTGACCCCTAGTAAAGACTGTTACCTGGGGGGGGGGCAGTACCCAACCTAAGCCCTCTAAACCTCACGGCAAACCCATGAAAGCTGCATCCCAAGGCTTCTTAGGGTTTAGGGTTTAGGGTTTAGGGTTGGGTCCAGGGTTTAGGGAACATCCTGAATGCTGCATTGCAAAACCTTACCCCTAGACCCATCTACATGGCAAACCCCTACCCCATCTAAGCCCTAAACTAGAGCACTAACCCCAAGGCTCCAAGTACCCAATAATCATATATACTTACCCCAAACCTGTACTAAAATTACTCCAAATTCCCAAGTACCTAATTATTGGGCACTTGGACCCTTAGGGTAAGGAACCATTAAACCACGAATGTATGAGGGTGACAGGAACCAGAACCACGCCAGGACTGAGCTAAACGTTTGAAACACAATGGACACCCTAAACACTGAACCCCTACACCCTAAACCCTAAACCCTACACCCCTAAACCCCTAAACTGTAAACCCTATACCCCAAACCCTATAAGCGCAGAAAATTCGTGCAGGCATGGCCTCTTCCACCAGACCATCCTTGCAAAGCTCTTACCGTGGGCTGTTGCTGGAGTTTAGCCTCTTTTTTGTGGGAGCCGGAGGCGTGATGTTCAGGATTTCCGGATTGAAAGGTTCAGGGCTTGGGAGTGTGATTCTTTTTGAGCAAGCAACTTTCCCTAAGGGTCCAAGTGCCCAATAATTAGGTACTTGGGAATCTGGTAATAGTAATTTAGTACAGGTTTGGGTTAAGTATATGATTATTGGGTACTTGGACCCTTAGGGTTTGCAACCCTAAACCCTAAACCCCTAAACCCTAAACCCTGAACCCTTTGCTGCCAAAGCTGCTGCAAGCCGACGCAGGGACCCCGATGACGGTTTCCAAAAATAACCGATAAACCCTAAGGGTCCAAGGACCAAAATAATAGGGTCCCTTTAAAGGGGGTTATAGGGGGACATATCGGGAGATATGGGGACTATATAAGAGTCCAAGGACCAAAATAATGAGGTTTTAGGGCACAAATACCATTAGTATTATAGTATTTGGGCCCTAAAGCCCCATTATTTGGGTCCTGGGACCCTTAGGAAGTTCACATACAGAGATCTCCAATGAGTTTGCAAAACCCCGTATCATAATAGGAACTGAAGTTTAGGGGCATGTACTATACTGCATCGCGCAAATCGCAATATGTCGATGACTTGAGCGCGTGTAGACCTGCACTATGGAAGACATGCGGGGCCCAGACGGTTTAGGGTTTAGGGTTCGGGGCTTGAACCATAAACCCTTCAGTGCAGCTATTGAAAGAGTATCGGGGTGACAAGCCTCAACTTCAACTGGACTGGTAACTAGTACCCTGCTTCAAACGCAAAGTTTGACCCCACTATACATCAAAAAACACGTGGCTCAGGGTTCAGGGTTTTGGGTTTAAAAGCTTAACACAGAAAAGGGGTAAAGTGCCTAAGGTGCTCTTTCTTTTGCAAAAGCTGGGGTACTTTCATGGCACATCTGGAAGGAGACTGACCCTCGGTCTATATTGGGGACTGCAGTGTGCTTGTTTCAAAGGTTCCTCCACGGTTCGTTCAGGATTGACAATTCGATAGCAACCGTAACCTCCATGAAACTCAAAAGTGTGAGGTGGTACCTTACACCGTACACCCACAACCTCGAACACAATTAGCCTAGCTACTTACGAATGCCATTTTGAAGTCTATTTGAGGTACCCTACAATCATAACATTGTTGATTGTTTAGACCACTACGTTAATTACCGTTCAACCTCCAAGCACACAACCTCAAATCTTGAACGCCCACACAGGGCCCCCAAAAAGAAGCGCTCAACTCCTTGCAGATTTTGCCAGCCCTCACTCGCACAAGCTGTTTCCGAATTGCGGACGTGACGCCCGCGCAAGCCGTCGCTACCAGCAACAGGGATCGTTTCACCCGTCACTTTCTGCGAGGCATCGTGCAATGAACCCCGAGGACCCATGACAATCCAATAATTACGCGTCTTTAGGAAGAAATGCTTGGGCTTCCCAAAGCAGGCGTACCCCTAGAGAACCTTGGGATATGTGGGGATTACACAAAACATCTAGGATCCCCTTCCAAAAATGCAAACAAATCATTCTGAAAGACACCCAAGATTTCCAAAAGACTCCCTCACTTGAGAAATGTATATCCTCTGCGACAAAACCTAAACCCTAAACCCTAATGCCTAAGTCCTTAAGTCCCTCCGCAAGTTTCCACCTCTCTTGGTGGCCGCTTAGTGACCCCGAAACGCTCTCCAAGTTCTGGCGGCGCAAGAACGCGAAACTCTGACTATCCACATGCCCACCCAGTGTTCTTCAGGGTCCCATGAAATGCTTATAGATATGATTTTACCGTAAATTATACCCTAGACGCTAAATCCATCCTACGACTTCTTGAAGCCAGTGGTCGGTGAAGCTGGAAGCATCCTTCTTTAATCGAAACGTGCCAAACGGACAAATGTTCTGTACAAAGCAGCTAGTTTCGGGGAGGATATGTTGGCAGCAAGTCAAATCCCAAATCATGCTCGCTTGATTGTACTGCCTCGGGCTTCAAGGGTGGCTTTCTCAGAACTCGTCGCCATAGCCCTCTTCCTCTCCCTCACCTGCGGCGGGGCTTTTGTTGGAGGAGCTTTCCAGGGCTTTGTATTGCCAATCAGACATGCTTTCCTCTTAAAGTCCTGAACCAAACTTAGAGAGCCCGGCAATAAGAAGTTCCGGCTTGTGGTTTCAGGTTTCCTCCAAGTAGACAGCAAGCCTAACTGAATGAAACTGGCATTAGGGTATGCTGTACTGAAGACTATTGAAACCTCTAGGGTTGGCCTATGCCTAACCCAGGTGTACCTAAGACCCCAAAGACATCCAGACCTAGTTCAACAGAGCAGAACTCTTCCTGGGATATTGAAAATGTATCGGGTTTACATTAGGGTCTAGGGCCTCGGGTAGGAAACACCATAAACATACCGAAGTCCTCAACCATAGACCTGTTTGACCCAAAACACAATGCACCCTACATGAGCCATTGTCTAAACTCCTAGTATCCCCCTTAGTAACCCCTATAGTAGTCCCCTATATAATCCCCTATATATTCCCCCTTTAAGGAGTTTAGACTATAGCTCACATCTTGCCTTCCGCTGTTTCGATGCCGACCTCCTCGTAGTCCTTCAGCTTCGGCTTCGCGGGTCTAGTTCCGTAGTAGCCCACTGAGAGTGGCGTGCAGGGTTTAGGACCTTTGGGATAGCCCCCTCTTCCCATATCCGACGTTGCGTGAAGGAATATGAAACAAGTGGAACTGAATGTATAACGTTGGGCGAAGCATCTCCCTAATCTTTAGGAACGTGTGTGCTGATTAGGACTAGCCGACTAGCCAGGAATGAAGGCATGGCTCACAGCAATGTTTCCAGCGGCGTGCTAATTAAAGAACAAAACTGCCTGGCTCCAAAATCTTCTGGTTTGTGTGTGGGATCATCCCATGGGGGTTGGACTGAACATTTGCCTGCAGAACCTCTGCATTTCAGGATACGGAATCTTGTTCAATTTCAGACATCAATGCGGTCTGCATGCATAACTCTACAAGCTCTTGCTAAATGCCCCCCCTTGCTGTAATTACTTCCTACGATGTATAATGTTTCCCTGGGAAGCTTGCGAAGGATGCTTTTGGTCTTGTGAGTCTTCAAGAGCAAAGAGCCTCCCTGTACATAATAAAAACTGCTAGAGGCTACTGTTCAAAAGGATTCTCTAGGTGATTTAAGCCACACCAAGCCAACCCTTCGCCCCAACCACTTGCAATGTGCACCCTGAACCTCTAGCCTCCAAGCCCGTAGACCCAAACCCGCAGTCCTTAATCCCATACCTCTTAGCCCTCACACCCCAAACCCTGATCTGCAACTGCAAACTCAGACCAAGAATCCGAAACCCTAAACCCTAAACCCTAAACCGCCCCTTAGAAACCCTGAACTCCAAACCGTGTGTCCTTCTCCAAGGCCGCCAAATCCTCTCGAGCCTCAGAGAACCTCAGCAACCAGATGCACACGAGGTACAATAATTAGGAGTTAAGGGTTGAGGGCGTATCTCTGATTAGGGTTTAAGGTTTAGGGTTGGGGGTCTAGGCATGGGGAGTTGAGGATTATCTCAGAGTTTAGATAGGCAGTTATTGCCCGCACTGGGCAGGTTATCTAGTGCTTGGGTATGGTGATCTATTGTTGTTCTAGCATCGTTCAAAGGTAAGGTCCTCTGCATGATCCCTTCTGCGCACACCATAAGGCAATGCTTCCATCCAACAAGCTTTAAGATGCATCTGGTAGTGTGCATAAACTGGCCGACCCCTGTGTAGGCCCCAAATACTGTAATCCTTATTACAGGGACCCCCCAAAATTAGGGTACCCCTAATTATGGGAAAGCTCTATGTCAAAACATAGCTTCGGAAAGATTGTGGGGAAAGTTTAGGGTTTAGGGCTTGGCTGTAGGATGCAGGGCAGATTACCGCGTTAGGGTTTACAGTAAGGCTTAGGGTTTCAGATTACAGCGTTAGTAGGGTTTAGCCTTTAGGGTTGTTTTCCCCCAAGCCCCTAGGCCCCCTTCACTGACCCATGAACCCTTCACCTGATCTAGGATGGACCTAGCGAAATGAGGATACCCTGCGGGGTCCCGGAATGTCGCGATTCTGTGGAGTTTATACAAGAAAACTGCATAGGGATGATGTCAGGAAACTTGTTCACAGGGAAGGGCTGAGGGCTTTGGAGTTTGGAGTTCAGTTGTTGGGTACAAAATGGGGGACCCCTATGTAGGCTAAAAATGCAGTAATCCCCATTACAAGGACGCCAAAAAGTGAAAGGCTCAGGGTTTTGGAGTTTAGCGTTCAGTTCTTGGGTTTCAGAATCTAGGGTTGTGGGCTCAGGGTTATAGAAGTGCAGGAGCCTAAAAACTCACAAAATAGAGCTACAGCTTTTATAGTTATAGTTATATTAAGGTTTTTAGGGTTTAGGGTTTCAGAATTCAGGGTTTAGCTACCCGGCCAGTTAGACAAACCCTCAGCGCTGACCCAGCCGAGAAAACTTCAAGTTAGAACTGACGGTTTTGGGCTTAGGGTACAAAGGGTTTAGGGTTTCTTTCGATCTCAGTTGAGGAGTATACCCTGCATGCTGCTATCATGTGATTCAAGGAACATTCCTTAATCAAGAGTTATTGAGCTCCATGGACTTTATCCTGAACCCATCAGACATTGTATATTCCGCGGTTAAGAGATGTTCTTAGTCATTGGGTCTAGCTACTACTTACATACACCCTGCGTTGACGCCACCTGCAAGTTCATCTGGGCGAAGGTTAGAGCTCAGGCTTTTGGAGTTTAGGGTCGTATGGAGTTTACGGTTTACTTACCCTAAACCCTAAACCCCAAACCCTAAACCCTAAACCCTAACCCTAAACCTTAAACCTTGTTGCTGATTAGCGTTGAGGGCTGGGAGTTTGGGGACTTAGAGTGTCAGGCTTTGAGACTAAGACTGAGGTCCTGCCTTGCATATGGGAGTTTCCCATAATAGGGTTTAGGGTTTAGGGGGTTCCTTTCTGGGGTTCCCAATGGTCAGGATTATAGTATATTGGGTCTATATTGGGGTCCCCTATTTTGGGAAACTATCATATATCCTAAACCCTAAGCTCTAAAACCCTAAATGCATTGTCACCAGAAACTCCGGTCCCAGTTTCACATTCAATAAAGCTCCATGACTTTACTTCGTGGATTTTTCTGCCTTTTTGGAAACTTAGGGATAGTATAGGGATTGCAAGTTTAGCATGGGGTCCTTAGTAAGGATTAAGCAAAAACCACGGATGAGCATGAGATATTTGCATAAAGCTCTAGGTCCAGAACTCCAAATTCTAATGTAGGGGCCTCAGTGATTGCCCAAAACATGTTAAGGTCTCGTTGAACCCTACACCCTGAAACCATTCAATGAGAAAATTGGGACCGTAACAGTGGTCATCATTGGGTAATACTGGGTAGTTTCACCCAAAAAAGCCCCAACATAGACCCCAAACTGCTAAAGTCCATATTCTGGGAAACCCCCCAAAACGGTACTGCAATTTTGGATAACCTCCAAACCCCCACAAACCCTAAACCCTAAGTTTCTACATTCACATCTGGGGGCTCTCCCTCCTCCATGCCCTCGCCGACGTAGTGGTGGACGAAGGCACGCTTGGAGTACATGAGGTCAAACTTGTGGTCGATTCGGGAGAAGACTTCGGCAATGGCTGTGCTGTTCGAGATCCTAGAGTGCAGATGGCTGAGTAGCCATATGGAGGCTTGTCACAAGGTAGGAGTTGGTACACATGGGGGGGGCGCAAAAACATAGATTAAAGCATTTGGGGGTATGAGACGTGGGACCCATGTGTATGACAACTCCCAAGTGAAGTAAGTTGCCGATTATGTTGCCCTAAGGGTCCAAGGACCCAAATAATGGGGGCTTTAGGGCCCAAATACTATATTATTGATGGTATTTGGGACCTAAAACCCCATTATTTGGGTCCTTGGACCCTTAGGGTTGAGTAATGCACGAGAATCCTGTGGACAGGAATCTTGATCACTGCTTGGAGACCCTTCTATCCCCACTCCCTAAGAGTCCAAGTACCTAATAATCATATACGTACCAAAACCTGTACCACAATTGCTATTACCCAACTCCCAAGGTACCTAATTATTGGGTACTTGGACCCTCAACCCTCAACCCTATATACCCCTCTATATCCCCTCAAAGGGAACTAATTGTTGGGCACCTGGACCCGTAGGGACTAAGAAGATCTTTGGGTGACACAGCCGGTCAGGGTGGCAGAATGAAGACCAACATGGGGGCTTCCTTAAACCTACAGGGTTATATAGAGGTTATGTACGAGTAATGTAAGGATATGTAGGGGTTATACAGTGTTATATAGGGGGTTATGTAGGGATAATGGAAAAGAACATGGAAACTACGGTTTAGGGTGTAGGGCTTCCTAAAAATGGTGGTGCCTTTATTGGGGCGTCCCCATAGAAAGGATTATCGTATGTTGGGGTCTATATTGCGGTCCCCTTATATAAATATTGTCAATCTACAGTTGGGGAAGATGCTGCACACAATTGTAGGACACACTTAGTGTAGGACGCAGGCATGTGGAGGGTTTACGGTTGGTCCACGTCTGAAAGTTTTACCAAGATCTAAGCTGTCTCAGACAATGCTGGATACCTTCAATTGTTTGGACACCTGGATAATTAGAAGGGGCTTCCAAAATTGCGGGGTCCTTATTGAGAGTCTCCGTAACAAGCATCATGTGATTTGATCCAGGGGGTTCTATTGGGCCTGTCCATATCTCCATTCAAAGCCGAAGGACGCCCCACTCGGAGGTAAGCTCGCCTTTTATAGATCGATAGATAGACAGACAGACAGACAGATAGGAACATAGATTGCAAATCACGGCTTGAGGGCATCCGTTCCTATGATTCCTGTCAGAGGACCCCCGCGAGTTTTTTATAATCCAACAATTGCGAAGCCCCCATTTGCGTTGAGGGCTCGGAACCGCAGTAGCGGGGCATTGAGCGAGCGCATTGAAACATGAACGCGAAAAAAAGACAAACAGCGAAGCACCACTGGAAATGGTTGTACACACCAAGAGCCGCAAAAAAGTACCTAGACCCTCCTTCCACGCTCTATTATACCCTAAACACTAACCATTTGGGGCCACATACCCCCATTTCAGGGCAAAATGACTCTCCTGCCACTGAACTGTATTGCGGTCCAGGAACATGCAGCAAGCTCGCATGACCTTGGCCAGGTCACCGCCGGGCACCACGGTCGGTGGCTGGTAGTTGATGCCGCACTTGAAGCCCGTAGGACACCAGTCAACGAACTGGATGGTGCGCTTGGTCTTGATGGTGGCCACGGCGGCGTTCACATCCTTCGGCACCACGTCACCGCCTCAGCATCAGCTACGTGCATCGATAACAAGAACCCAACCAAGTCCATTGATAGAGCGCCAATGGGGTTATAGCACCAATTATAATTTGGTGAGAATTCCCCTGCACCTCCAAGTGAGTACATACGATGCAACGCGGGTAGCCTTGCAGGAAATGCTTACTGGCTCCTCACCGGGAATGGAGGACTGGGCTGTGGGGACTATTGTGGGCAACTATCTCGGACCACTCTTGACATCCATTCCGCTCGCTCGGCTGAGTTCCTCACGGTACATCATGCAGCAGGCCATGTACTTGCCTCAGTTCTTCTCAGGACCCTTAGGCAGAGTTCGACTTCGGAGGAAATCTTTCTTAAATTTCTGCTGCAACGGGCTCTACAACAACTTTCACCTAGGGGCCATGTCGTGGATCGCATTTGACCATCATGGATGCCGGCTCGAAGACAGACATGGTGATCTCAGCCACGGACAGCTGCTCATGGTAGGCCTTCTCCGCAGAGATGACCGGAGCATAGGAGGTCAACATGAAGTGGATACGGGGGTATGGGACGAGGTTGGTCTGGAACTCCGTGATATCCACGTTCAGGGCTCCGTCGAAGCGAAGCGATGCTGTCAAGCTTGAGATGATCTGCGCAATGAGACGGTTGAGGTTGGTGTAGGTCGGGCGCTCAATGTCGAGATTCCTGTCAACAATACTAAGTGCTGGATTTTTAGAACAGGCATCCTCGCTACTTGAGTACGCTGAGTATGCTTATGCGCCACCTAGAAGATGAGGATTCGCGCGTGCATGTATGTACATTCTCTGCCGTCGTACCACCCCACAACACACCTGGTCTTTGTGACAGATTCAACTGGGCGCGTTGGATGACATGATTCATCCATCTTACTCAGGGTAATGCAGCGGTTTGTCCATCAACGGACCCTGGACCCCAAACCCAGTTACTCTCGGCCTAGTAAGCTCTAAACCTTAGGTGGACCCCCCCACCCAGCGAAAGTTACTATAAGGGATACTGAGGATGATATTAGGGCCCTCTTTCAAGAGGGGGATGGCAGCAACTCTACATGCAAGTCACGACAACATCATTGCGATTTATAACACACGCAAAGAAAGGGTTTAGGGGAGTGTTGCAACATCTGGGAGGGATGACAGCATCACAGTCATGGCATACTTATAGCTGTACCTAACCCACTGATAAGGCAATGCGTCCCCCGATGCGGTAATGTTGTTATAATACATTACAACATCTTGCAACCACTCTGGGGGCGTCCTGCGGCAAATGTCGTACAACGCTTCATTGTCGTACATGATCGTCACGTCTGTGTGCTCGAGGAGGGAGTGCACGCAGAGGACCTTTCAGAGGATTGCAACAAGAGGATTGAGTAGGGGTTATGTGAGTTTATGTAGAGGATTTATTGGGAATATGTAGGATTGGAAAAGGATTAAGCAGGGATACATATGGGCTATACACAGTTCTTGGGGCTATAAAAAGTTAATGACACCAGACATGTGATCCATAATCTAAACTCCTAGTATCTCCGTTGGTAACCCCTATAGTAGTCCCCTATATGTTCCCGAATATAACCCCCTTTAAGGAGTTCAGACTATAGCTCATGTGAGCTTTCAATACTTGTGGGGTCAAAAGCCTTCGGGCAGGGGATGACATGGGAGCTTCTCAAAGCAGACGACATCTAGGGATCCAAAGGAGAGAGGGAGAGAGCGAGAGGGAGAGGCAGAGAGAGCGAGAGAGGCAGAGAGAGCGAGAGAGATATATACATGTACATATATGTATGATGTTATATTTTGTATTATACTATACTATAGTATCTCACATGTATATATATATATGTATATTTCTATGTATATGCGCAAATACCGTATATAACAGGGTTTCTGAAGGGGATCTGTAGGGGGTCCTAAACCAGGGATTCTATATGAACATCTTCAGGAACTCTCCCACTGACTGTAAAGCCTAACCCTAAACCCTAAGCCCTAGACCCTAAACCCTATGCCCTAGACCCTGAACCCTAAACCCTAAACCCTCAACCCTAAACCCCAGGCACTCATGGGCTAAGAGACTGTGTTGTAAGGCTCGACGACCGCAGTAGCAACTTGCGGGCAGCACCAGACCGTGAAGGAGATCTTGCTCTTCTTTCCTTGCTCTAGTTCAGGCTTCCGGGCTTAGGGTTTGGGATTTAGGAGCGCCCAAAAAAGCAAAAGACCCTCACTCTCCCTCTCTCTCTCTCTATATATATATATATAATCATATTTATATATGTATATATTGTGCGTATTTATATATATGTATGTATGTAGCGGTACCATCTGGAATACTTGGTCTTAGGGGCGTGGGGAGGTTGCCTGTGAGTAGGCCGGAGATCAGACATCTGGGGTAGATCTTACTACGGTTTAGGGTTTAGGTGTTTAGGGTTTCGAAGAATTCGCAAGGATGTTTCTTACATCACCCTCATGACCACCATCCCCATGCAATCATGATTGCTGTATGTGCCTGCATGCAATTCTGATTTTCCAAAACCCAGGACAGGGCTCCCTAAATGGATCGCAATAAACATCACTTACTAGATATGGTGAACTCTATTTGACAATCCAAGAAGTGATTTCTTAAGACACATAGAAAGGGAAACATCGGAAGCCCTGTAGGGAACGGGGCTTCTCAGACTTAGTCCCTCCATGCATCAGGGATTCCATAGTCCACAGACAGCCTCTCCAGCATCAGGCAGCCGAGACCGGATCCAGTTCCACCTTCACGCAAGGTGCCCGATTCAGGTGTAGGCTTTAGTATTTACCCTAAACCTTATAACCCTAAACCCTAAACCCTAAACTTAAACCACAAACCCTAAACCCAAACCCTAAACCCTAAACCCAAACAATAAACCCTAAACCCCAAACCCCAAACCCTGACCCTAAACCCTGAACCCAAACCCTAAACCCTAAACCCTGGGTTTGGCGCTTAGGGTATTGGAGCTCCTTAAGCCCTAAGCCCTGAGCCCTAAAAGGCATTCGCTTGAGGTGCACCATGGGCTTCTGCAGGGCTTCGTGTAAAGGGACTTTACTTGGGAACCACAAGCAGGGAACCCCAACAATAATGTAGGAATATAATAGGAATGTACTTGCCAAGGTCCTTATATTCTACTATATTCCTACTATATACTAGGGGTTCCCTGTTTGGGGTTCTCAGTCAAGTCCCTTTACCTTGGGTGCTATGGTGGATATTAGAATTCTGCATGACCCTGAGAACCCTAAATCCCAGGAATTATGGTACTGCAGTATACTAAGGTCATGCAGGATTCTTAGCATCAACAGTCTGGGGACTGACAACGGAGCATGGAGGTCCGGCTATCATGATTGTACGTGTATGGTTTTGAGAAACTCCAGTTCTTCTCGCACAGCAAATCCAAACCCTGCTGAGCCCAAGACCCTACAGGCTAAACCCCATACAGACCAATTTTAAGTTTCTCCAAAAAATGCACCCCAAGGGACCCCTCCCCCCTATAGGGTTTAGGGTTTAGGGGTATATTATATACATATATATGGATTGCGTTACCATGATGGGGGGGTCTGTAACTAGGGATTATCTGGGTTGCTGTTAAGGAACTTAATTTAAGTTACTATATTGGGGGGAACCCTATTAATTTCTATATATACCCATTATGGTACCTTTATTGAAGTTCTTTAACAGCAACCCAGTTATTTCGGGAAATACCCCCTAAACCCTAAACCCTAAATCCCTAAACCCTAAATCCCCAAATCCCTAGACCCTAAACCCTGATCCCTAATCCCTAAACCCTGAACCCTAAACCCTATACAAGGGTCTGTAATAGGGATTATTTCGGGAAATACCCCATCTTGCCTCCGCATGCGTTGTACACGCAGAAGCCCTGGAGTCCTGTGCCTGACATGGGTTTAGGGTTTAGGTTTAGGGATTAGGGTTTAGGGTTAAGGTTCAGGGTTTAGGGATTAGGGTTTAGGCTTGAGGGATTAGGGTTTAGGGTTTAGGGTTTCAGGTTTAAGGTTTGCATAAAGGATTTGTTTATAGGGGACTACTGTAAGGGTTATTTAGGGGGATGCTAGGAGTCCAGGCTATGGCTTACATGGGTTTAGGAGTTGGGCTTCGGGTTTCAGGTATAGGCTTACATGTAGGCTTCCGGGCCTTGTGGTTCAGGGTTTAGGGTTACTGCTTGGGATTCGGGGTTGTGGCTTGGTGTTTGGGATTTAGTGTTCTCGGCTGGTTTAGGGTTACATGCAACGAACTGTGAGCTCCGTAGGGATCTTAACAACCAGATGTGTCTTAGGGGGCACTATAGTAGGGTTACGAACTTTAGGGCATCTCTTCCTACACCACAAGCGCTAAACCATTGGTAACTACCAGGTTCGAGCCTCGGGGGGTGGATCTGCTATAGCTAAAAACATTGGGGCGATGATCTTCCAAGCTGCTCAGGACTCTTCCGCTACCCTACCCCTAGCCCTTCATTCATAAACTCGATATTCAGCCAGTTGCCACTTTTGATTTTTTGAGGGCACTCTACTACAGCTTTACTATGATGTACCCTAGACATCCAAGTATACAAATAATCCCTACATTGGGCCCCAAAGTCTGTAAATAATACCTACATTGGGCTATTTGGATCCCTAGGGGTATGTATGCTATGAAGGGGCGACTCTCCAAACATCTACACCAATAATTGGGTACTTGGGTGTTGGTAATAGTAATCATAGTACAGGTTTTGCAGGTTTTGGGTAAGTAGATGATTATTAGGTACTTGGACCCTCAGGGTTATAGTCACTATCACTGGGAGGGGAGGGGGGGGGGAGGCGGTCCACCTAAGATTTACTTATAATGGTGACTTGCGTTAAGCCCTACCCCTTAACCCTAAGCCATACACAAAACTTACGTTGCCTGACAAGCAGTCCAGATAAAGAGGCACTTCTTTGTGAGACTCCAGTGTCTGCAAAAGATTAAGGATCTACTTGATGGATCTTTTTAAGGAATACAGGAATATAAACCCTATATACTAGAACCCCTAAATGATATATGCCGATATACCCTACTAAGCCTGAACTCTAAAATCTGAATTCTAAACTCTAAACCCTATCCTGTATGGCAGGCACAGGATCTAAGTCTGCGTTTAGGACGCACTCAATACCGGCCTGCAGTACGTACTGCGTTTAGGGTTTAGAGTCGGACCTAAAGCCAAGAAAGAAGAATGCCACAAAACTCCCTACGTAAGCCCTTAGGCCAAATCAACCACCAAATCAGAGACAAGCTTCAGTTGTCTGCGAGCTTGCGGATTCGGTCCAGAACCTTCGGGTTTAGGGCTTGGGATTTCTAGGGCTTAGGGTTTTGGATGTTGGGGTTGAGGGGATGGGGTCAGGGCTTAAAGTGTTTAGGGTTAGGTTTCAGGGTTTTGGGATATTTGGGGCTTAGGCATCACCATGGGGCACAAAGTGCCTCATGTTTAGGGCCTAACTACTGTTCAGGCTTGGAGGGCTAAGGTTTTAGAAGTTCAAAACACACTTAGGGCTCGAAGCATGTAGTTTCTAGGTTTTAGGGTTTAGGGCTACAGGGCATGGATGTGCGCAAGGTCCCTGATTGGAAAAGGCAGGCGTAACCGCTAAACGCTAAACCCTAATTCCCGGAAGTTCTAGCATCCCACAAAGGCAGCGCACTCTGATCGAGCACTGTTGGAGGAGTGCGGGGCCTAGAGTTTAAGGATTTGTTCGGTTTTGTCGGACCGCTTCTCCACGGGTTGGCGAGATTGCAGTACTGCAAGATTAGGCTTTGCGGTCAAGGGGCTGGGACCTCGGAGAACATTGAAGTCCGTCCCAAACTAATACGCAGCCGCAGGACTATAAGTAGAACAATCCCAAACGAGCGAGCTCCAAAAGAGAACATCCAGGAAGTCCGCAAGAGTAGCTGCCCTCACATTTTTGCAGTATTTTCTGGACCCTCCTTGCACCATCTATTACATTATACCCTAAGTACAAACTATCAGGGACCATATCCCCCAAATTAAGGGGCACAAGGAAGCTGCTGGTGCTGGTTGGGAGTAGTTATCATCAGGGGGCGGGGCGTTCTGTAGCTTCGGCGAGGGGAGACGTAGCAAAGGCTCTATAAAGGAACCCTCAGACCAGACCTAAGCCCCAACAAGGTTTAGGGTTTAAGGTCTATAATACCCTTAGGGTTTCAGGCTGGAGTTAGCTGTAGAGGCAGAAACCCAACAAAACATTACTCAAACTTTATCGTCAGCTAGCGATTGGGGAGTTCCCAAAATGGCGGGCCTTAAGGCACCTCGGGATACACAGGGCTTACAAACGGATTAACCCGAAACTCTGAACATGTACACGGCGGTTCAGGGTTTAGGATCAAGGACTTGCCGGAAAATCTGAATAGCAGGCCGGATGCCAGGTCAACGATCTCTTTTCCGATCGTGTAGTGTCCGCGAGCGAAATTGTTTCTCAGCTAGGGCGCAATCAAGGGAAGACCACACATGCTTGGGATGGAGGAAATCCCGCACAACCTTTCTGTCCTTTACCCCAGGAATTACACAATTTTGGGGATCCGGGCGATGCAAGATTTCCTACCGCCAGGGCACGCTTATGCATCCACCGAACTTACCCATTGGATCCGCATTCGTCGCACCCTGTGGCGTCAAAACTCCTCACACAAACGTAGAGGCTCTAACATGTTCTATCTCCTCCCAATAGATTTCTGTTTTTGGAGCAAGTGCGAGGATAATGTTGTCTCGAATCGAACCTATGACCCACGTCGCGCAGCACATCCATGAGGTGCCCTGCTAATTTCCTACATCAGTGCACAAGACTTGCAGGTTTCAGAAATGTGGAAAGGGGTTTTGGCAGGGTGCCTGTATGGTAATCCCAATAGCTTGCAAAAAAAATGCAGTTGAGAAAGAACCCCCTCAAGTCCCCTAGATCCAAGCCACTCCTGCCCTGCAGCCTCCTTTACATAGGTATGAGTCATATTTTGACAAACCACGGCCTTCCTCTTAAACCCCCTCAATCTTGAACCATGTGGCTTTGCATGTCATGAGAGTGGCAACCAAGCTTCGCAGCATCTTCCTTTCCGGAGATGAGTTGCTCCGGATGGAAAAGCTGGCCTGAAGCCCGGTCTGAAGAACAAACGATTCTTATTGGTATCACTATTTTCGTCAGTAGTGCTATTAAGATGGTAAATAGTATATTTGTCTTTTATGACATGTTATTCCATTAGAACTATTACCTGTTATGCGGTTTTGCGCTCAATATGAACGTCTTGGTGGGATTCAGACGTGAACCCTACATTCTAGACATTGACCAGGATGCTGTGAACTAGTGCTTGCTACTTGCTACACTTCAAAGCCAGTTCAGGACAACTTGATTTCCAGACCACTGGATTTAGGCTGTCAAGAAGTGACAATGCTAGAAGGATGAGGGAATATGGGGTTTGGGGGTTAAGTAAGGTTCACGGTCAAGTTTTCTAAGGGTGGGGAAGGGTTGGGGGCCCAAAAAACTTTAGCTTGAACATCTGTCTTATCGGCTCGAGACAACCAGCTGCTTAGTTCTGCATCACTCAGAAAGTTACGTGAGCAGAACTTTTGTCATACCCATAGCGCAGAACTCAAAACGTGAAGTGAACCCCGACATCTTGACCGAACTTTCACTAACGCCAAAGGACCTGAATAATGTCGAATTGGGGTGTATGGACCGTTAAAGAACCGCGCTTCAAGCACAGATTGGCGCTTAAGCTGAAAGCTCAGCATAATGCCTACACAAATAGACGAAGCGCGGAGCTTCATGACATTCTGTTTGCGCATAATTCTGCTTGTGATGCAAGGCCTTGGTAATATTGCAGAATTCCATTCTACAGCCGCGCGTTGAGCTGTGTTGAATCCAGTATGTTCTACCTCAACTGATCTAATGCTCCGATAAACGTTCAAGCTATCACTTGTTTATGCCAATGAAATCACTGTTTCCGAATAGCTGCACAACCTGCACCCCAAATCTTGCAGGTGCTTGAGGTGGTGCGGGTAGTTACTATGCATCTTATCTTTTACAATTGGCAGCACGCGCACGATTATCAAGATCCACACCCGCACTTTCTCGTGAGCAACGAAAAGAAATGCAGTCTTCAACGTTCTTGGGTTCAGCTGCCTGCGTATTGAATATCATTAGTAGTCTAAACTCCAACGCACAAACCGGGAAAACAGGTCCACACACGAAGCGCTGAAACCTAGACCCTGACTTGCCGCCCAGCAGCGGTAAGTGCCAGTACGGACCTCATCAACGACAGTGGGCTCCAAATCCACCTTTGTTGTTATTATTCGTTTGCTGTAAATGCGCCATCCTGGCTGATGGGATAGACGAAAAAAGCCATCACAGCTTGGCAAAATTCCAATTTGCGGTATCAAGAACAAAATATTAGAACAAATGTTGCTGGAGTGTTGCAGTGCGCATGCGGGAGCCAGGCGGCAAGTCGCACAAACGAGTTAATGACAAACCCAACCCTTAGATCCTAAAGCGGGGAAGCCGTAAACAGGGCCCGAAACAAAACAGGGAAACAAAGGGAGGATATTGATGAGGCAAAAGCCGAAGCCTTAAACGGGGCTTACGGCATGGTAAGTGCGAATGCCAAGTTTGCACGCAGGAACTGCGCAATGGGCGCAAAGTATAGTCACTATGAAATCGTGCTGGCAGCCTGCCGAATGATCCAACCAGATTTGATAGTGCAACGAGGTTGGTTCTGCCACCAAAAGGCGGCGATATGATGCATGGTTTGGAGCTCGGTCCGTACTTTGTCGAATCTGCGCCCAGAAGCGACGGGCGGTTGCGGTCTCGTACCCACAAAAGGGGCACATAGTGGGCTCAGGTTGAGGGATCCGAAATCTGTGGTATCTTCGCGTTGGGGGTCCAGATGGCCCAACTTTGCCAGATACTCAGTGCTGTTGTGTCAGAATGTGACCAAGCTTTGATCCAGTCGCACCAGACCTTGTGGCTGGTGCAATCTAAATCAATATCTTCGACACCTTCGCAATCGAACCTGGTGCGATTGATGCGTGAGAGCAGCATAAGACGAGCACCCCTGCCCAGGGTGTGACGGATGTCAAGGCCGTGGCCGCAATTGTTAACATACATATGGGTTTCCTGGACGAAGGTGGCGAGCCCATCGCGTAAGCGGATGCCAAGAGAGGGAGGAGAACGGGTTGTTTTAACCCACAAAGACTGGGGAGTGGTGCGAAGAACACCACAAAACCACGTTTGTTGATTATTACTTCGCTGTACATGCACATCGCTTCCGGTGGGATAAAGTGCAAAAGCCATCACAGCTTGGCCACAGGACCCCGCTGCAAGTCACAATGCTGCTGTAGTGCTAGCTTGAAGAATTAAGACAGTTTAGTCGAATATAACATAGTATGATGTATGTGTAATATATGTCTAGTATAGCCAACCGCGGGGCTGACGATTCAACCAGGAAGCGGAGCGATGTTCAGTTTGCGAAGAACTGCGAATGTCATTGAAACGATCGCGCATCGCGAAGTAGTGGTGCGTGCTCGCCACTATCGCGCGGAGACCGTCAGCAAACAATTCGGGAAGGCTCTGCCATGCTGGCACCACACTCCACATGGTCCCGGCCATCAGGATTGGCAAAGTCGTGTCTGAGGACCAAATTCTCTTTCACGGGGCTCAAGGATTTGAGGTTTAGAGTTTTGGTAGGGTGTCAGGCTTGGGGTTTAGGCAGTTTTCAGCGCGTGGTTTTGGGGCACAGGTTGCTCCTTGTGCCGTAGACGAAGCTGTGATGACTTGAAATCAGCGCATCCAGTTGGCTTCCGTTACAGGTTAGCAGCCTATGTAATTCGCTGAGGCATCCAGCCTCAGGGCGTTCAGATCCCTTTAAAAACCCCCTCTACTCCTCCCCACAACACACCTCAGCCTGGCCACCCCC